TGGCCCCCGGGGGCCACAAACTGACCGACGAGAACTTGGCGCTCAACGAAAGCGGGCTGGTAAGGATCCGATTCCTTTAGAGCAAGGGTCAGCAATCTGCAGCTCTGGAGCCGCATGTGGCTCTTTCATCCCTCTGCTGCGGCTCCCTGTCGCCGGTGAGCTCCACAATTTGATAGGGCTTTTGGTTAGGACAGGTAGAGGAAAAAGGGCGCCATGCTAGGAGGAGATTCTATGGTGGGGGAACTGGACTTCCAGTCAGCAGAGTAAAAAAGACGCCGTGCTAGGAGGAGACACTGTGGTGGGGGAACCGGACTTCTGGTCAGCAGAGGAAAAAAGACGCCGTGCTAGGAGGAGACTCTGTGATGGGGGAACTGGACTTCTGGTCAGCAGAATAAAAAAAGACGCCGTGCTAGGAGAAGACTCTGTGGTAAGGGAACCGGACTTCTGGTCAGCAGAGGAAAAAAGACGCTGTGCTAGGAGGAGACTCTGTGGTGGGGGAACTGGACTTCTGGTCAGCAGAGGAAAAAAGACACCATGCTAGGAGGAGACTCTATGGTGGTGGTGGTGGGGTCCAGACTTCCAGTTGGCTCCAGAATTGAACGTGGGGCTTCCGGTTAGGACCTTTGTGGCTCATTGAGTGTTAAGGTTGCCGACCTCTGCTTTAGAGAGGAGAGAGTAGTAGTAACACTTCAGTTTTGCTTGAAGTTCTGAGAATTTATTGAACATGGGGGCTGCCATCTCCCTCTCAAGTTGGGGCTGTTTACCTTGCAGGCAGTCCTCAACTTACAACTGTTCCTTTTAGTGACCCAAAGCTCTCCCTTGTTCTTTCATTGAGAAGTTGGAGCTGTGTTTTCTCAGGATGATTTCTGCCCCACGTTCCTTCACTGTTGAACACAGGTGTAAATAGGTGTAGAGGTATCCTGACCTAGGCTTCCTGAGACAGTAAAAAGCACACGCTTAGTCCCAAAACCCCTCTCTTTATTTCAACGGCTGTGAATTATGTTCATTCACAGCCTGTAATGAGTCACAAATAGTTTGTAAAGAGTCCGACAGAAGTCTGCCAAAGTCTTTCAGGGTAAGGCTGATAAGCACCCACCTTTATCTCCCTTGAAACACTGCCGAAGACCTAATTGGCAATTAGCTTGCAAGGCCACATGGAGCACAGAGTCAAAACGAAGCTTCAGAATTTAATTCGACCAGCATGAACAAAGTTGCTTCCTTTGCTCCTCCTTTATGTCCTATGGGAGGGGCCAATCACCTCCAAGCCTTACTCCAGAGTTGTCCCTTTTGTCTTAACTCTTCTTGCCTCCTGGGAGCTCTGTGCATGCGCCCACTGGGAACAGGCTCCAGCTGTTCTTCTGCCCCACTGATATCTGACCCCGAAAGCAGCTGATAACTGTCAGATGGCTCTGGCCCCCTCTCTGTCATCGACACAGAGCCCTCCTCAGAGCCTTCCCGAGGCTCCAGGACTGGCCCAGGTTCCTCCCCAACCTCCTCACTGTCCGACTCTGCTGTTAGCACCACAGGCTAACAGTGGACCACAACAATAGATAGTCCTCGATTTACACCCACAATCAAGACCCAAAATGTCCATGGCTAAGTGAGATGGTAGTTTTGCTCCATTTTGTGACCTTTCTTGCCACAGTCGTAAGTTGAGGATTGACCTGCATCTGCATTGGTTCTATGCTGGTGCTAACTATATCCCTTCACTGTTGAACGCAGGCGTTGGTAGGTGTGTAGGTAATCCTACGACCACAAGGAAGCCCAAAATGTCCATGGCTAAGCAAAACATTTGCTCCATTTTATGACCTTTCTTGCCACAGTCGTAAGTCAAGGATTACTTATATCTTCATCAGTCCAATCCTGGTGTCTTGAAAACCCTTGCTAAATTTTCTTTTTTCCCCTCTCCCTTTCTTTCTCCTTCCTTTCCTTCCTCCTTCTCTCTTCCTTGCTTTCTTCCTTCTTCCTCCCCACTTTTATTTTTTTTTCTTTCTCCTTCCTTTCCTCCCTCCCTCCTTCCTTCGCTCGCTCTCTTCCTATTTTTTCTTTATTTTCCTTCCTTTTTCTTCTTTTTCTTTCTGTCTTTTCTCCTCCTCCTCCCCCACTTCTTTTCTTCTTCCTCTTCCTCCTCCCAGGTGCCCTCGGCGCTTCTGACCTTCATTTGGGACGCCGAGGTCATGGAGGACATCCGAGCCTCCCGGAGCGAGCACATGGGAAGCGTGCTGAAGCCCGACCTGCTGCTCACGGTGCAGATGCTCTGAAAATAAAGGCGCGATGGGGTTGGATCCGGTTCCGTCCTGTGTGGTCCCCGACTCTTCCGAAGCCAGCCTCTTGACTTTTCCCTGCTTCCTGCCCACTAGAGCCACAGACGTGACTTTTTTCCAGCTGGCAAGAGGGGCAAGCTGCCAGCAGAGCAGCTCATGCAGCTTCCCCCAGCCCCCACCCCTTGAGCTTGGCACGTGGAGCTGTCAATCATGGGAGGATATTTTTCCAAGCGTTGCTTCTTCTATTTTTTTTTTGTTTTAAGTTTCATCAGTCCCTGTTTTTACTGATCTTTTTCTCGCTTTGAAGCACCTTTGGGGTGGGAAAAGATCAACGCCGCGGGAAGAGGTCTGCCAAAAACAGATTTCCCCGGTTCCTTCCGGCCACTGTTGCTTCAACGAACACTTTGTTCCCCGGGGGATACACGGCCCGCAGGAGGTCCCGAATCACGTCGAATTGTTTATTATTATTATTATTATTATTATTTTAGGTCGTAGATAAGTTAAGCTTTATGGGGAGATGAAGGAGCGTACGCATATACACTACTGTAGCCGCTGGGCGTGTGGCTGCTGCTGTTAAGTTGTAGGTTATGGGAAAGACTTCTGAAGAATCCGATCCCATGGTTTATTTTATTTTATTTCGGGGAAGGAATTGTTGCAAGAAATGCACCTTTATAAAAATGCCATATTTGGGGGCATGGGACGCCTCAGGGGGTGTGAGACGATCCCTCCTTGGGGCAGTGTATCTGTTTTGAAGCTCTCTGCCCCGCTTTCGTGGACTTGCTAAGTTTCTGCCTGCCTCCTCTGTTCGTTTTCCAGGAGGAACGAGAAATGCTGCTTTACATTTTTTTGCTTGATGTTACTGGAGAGGGCAGGGCAAGCAAGATAAAAACGTGGAGCCACAGAGCCCCCACCCCATTTTTGCAGTCTGGGGTTAACCATTTTTGGTTTTGGAGGTGTCTCCACTCTCAACGGAGGCGACAGCGGGGAGCTAAAATGCCACTGTTAACTATGTACAAAAGATACGCTTCAAAAGGTATTTCCCCCCCTCTTATCATCCCATGTTTTGTGGAATCTCTTTAAATTGGAAGCAGGAGTTTGAAAAACCCACCGAAATGTCACTTTTCTTTCCACCTCCCCACCCCTCCTAAAACAAAATTCCGTATTTTTATTTTTCTTCCAGGAAGGCTCTGGATTTAAGTGATGTATCTCCCCCCCCCAAAAAAAAGCAGATTCATAACCAAAGTGTGAGGTATAAAAACTGTACCATGAATCCTGTTTTGATTATGTTTAAAAGAAAGGCAGCTGTTTAAAATGTTTGCTTGGTTCTGTGTTTGGGGAGGGGTGATTAATTATCTAATGGCCGTAGGGACTAGCCCCTAGGAGGTGGACCAGATACTGCATGGGCCAAAAGAGTTGCAGACACACACACACACACACACACATGGAATAGAGACTTAGCTTCTTTTAATAGCATAGGGCTGGTGCGTCTGGTGTGCCGGAAGTCTTAACGATTGGCCCTTTCTGAGTCCCCTTTGGGGGAAAAGGGGAGCATAGAAATTTAATAAATCTAGTCTAAATCTAATCTAGCAGCATCTTTACAAGGTAGTTCTTGATCTGAATTCCTGGAGCGGCCTAAATCATAAGCTGGATCGGCAGGGCTGGCTGGGGAATTCTGGGAGTTGAAGTCCACAGGTCTGCAAAGTTGTCAAGATTGGGAAACATTGGCTAAAGTTCTCTTGTCTTGAAATCTCAATCTAGTACATTGCTGGGTGGGGAATTCTGGGA